TGGAGCCAGGCTGGGAGAGCTGGGAATGTCCAGCCTCGAGGAGAGGCAGCTCCAAGAAAACCTGAGAGCCCCTTCCAGGACCTAAAGGGGCTCCAGGAGAGCTGGAAAGGGATTTGGGACAAGGGATGGAGGGATAAGACACAGGGAATGGCTTCCCACTGCCAGAGGGCAAGGAGAGATGGGATATTGGGAAGGAATTGTGAGGGTGGGGAGGCCCTGGCACAGGTTGCCCAGAGAAGCTGTGGCTGCCCCATCCCTGGAAGTGTCCAAGGCCAGGTTGGACGGGGCTTGGAGCACCCTGGGCTAGTGGGAGGTGTCCCTGCCCATGGCAGGGGGTGGCACTGGGTGAGCTTTAATGTCCCTCCCAACCCAAAACCACTCTGGGATTCTGTTTTCTTTTGGCATGAAGGTTATTTAAATGAAACACCCAAGTCACCAAATGCCTCTTCTCTATAACTCTGTGTGTTATGGAGGTAGTTAAATCCACTTTCAGAAAAGATTAACAGCCTTTACCAGGGCCATAAATCCTGTGATTAACTTTGCAAAAAATCTGGGGAGTTTGCAATCTCTCTTGATTTCTCGTGCTCCCCAAGGTGTCAGTGCCTCAGGGTTGCACAGGTGCCACTGCAGAGATGTATACCAGCAGTGTCAAAGTTTTTGTGGTACCCAGGTGTAGTCCTGTTTGCAGCCAGGAGCTGGACTCCACGATCCTTGTGGGTCTCTTCCAGTTCAAGATGGTCTGTGATTCTGCTTTCTATGAAAAGTGACTCCTTACGCCCCAGACACCCCATGGACTCGGATAAACGAGGCTTCTGAAATTAAGCAGGTGATTTTTGCAGAGACACACAGCCAGGTATGAGAGATCTCAGTTGAGGGAATTGCTGTGCCCCTCTGGAAGCTGGAACTGGGATGTTCCGAGCACGGAGGGCATGGTGCACATCGTGTGCCAGTGCCAAGTGGCTGCAGCCATGTGTTCTTAATAAAAATAAGGTTTATTGTTTCCACACTTCTTCGCAGTTACAGAGGCAATAATTAGCTGGGGACATTACAGATGCATTAATTAACCAGGCTGGAGAGCACAGGGCAGCCTGCAAAGCAGGCACTTATTGGAATTTGAAGCAGAGACAATGCTATTGTTTACTGGGGAATGTAGGAGTTACCAAGCACTGTGTCCCCACGCAATTAAAACACCACTGCACATGTGCTAAAAAGGAATATTTGAATGGGATTATGGAGCAATTACAAGTTGTCTTATTGTGCTGGCTCAGTGTACCCCTGGGGTTACAGAAAGCAGCTACTGCAGGAAGCTGGCAGTGTGCAGGATTTGGTCGCTGAAAGCTTTCTATTGTTCCTGCTTTAATTGAATACTTACAGCAGGAGAACTGGGATCGTGTCCCTGGAGCTCAGGTTCACTGTCAGGTACCCCCCCCAGGGAAGGAGCTATTTCAGGCTGGGATTATAAGGCAGGAGTTTCCTTAGAGTGCCTCAGGCCTCCACATTCACAGGGACACCCCACCTTGGCCTTGGGGATTTCTCCAGGACACTTTGATGTAGCACTTGGAAGGCTGTGATAAGAATGAGCTGGTTCATTCACAGAACTGATCCTGGAGCCTCTGTGGTCTCCTCTCCTGCTTTGCTGGGTTTGGAGAAGACACCTGGAGGTGTTTGGGATTTCTGATGCAAAACCAGCTCTGTCTGAAGGAAAAAGGGCTGGTTTGTTTTAACCATCTCCTCACCGCACATACATGTGCTGCTGGTTTCCAACCTTCTGGCCTCCCAGCACAAGGCAGCATCAGGAAATGGGATTATCCCTGCAGCCCTGCATCACTGCCCATGCAAACAGCCTGGGAGAAAAGCCCTTGCCCAGGGAGCTCAACAGGGTCAGTGGCACAGATCTCCTGAGAAAACCTGCAGCAGGACTCCGAGATCAGGAGGACACAGAGACCAACAGGACTCCGAGATCCTCAGGACTCCCTGGGCTGCCTGAGTGTTGAGCAGACCCAAAGGAGTGAGGGGTTTAACCTCCTCCCCTCGAGGGCTGAGGAGCCCAGGCAGGAGAGGCTGCACGTTGTGGTGCCACCGCGTCAGGAGTGGGCTCGCTCTGGTCTTTAGTTCTAGAGCAACAGCTGAGAGCTCCCTGAAAAGCTTCTGGAAGAGCTTCTCTTTAAGGCAACACCACCTGGGGTGGTTTTTTTCTCCCCTGATTTTATTTTTCAGAGCAGCCTCTGCACTTCCCGGTTCCTTCCGGCCCAGGAAGCCGAACACTGTGACTAACACTGCACTTGTTGTTCCTGCCCAGAAGCAAATCCTCCTGCAGATCCTGGGGGAGGAATTGGCTTTTCAGTCTGTGATACAGA